GGTTGTGGTGTTATCAAACAGGAGCTGCTGAACAACTCGGATGTGCCCAACCGTGTCGGATGGGCCTTTGGTATCGGTTTGGAGCGTATTGCTATGCTTCTGTTCAACATCCCGGATATCCGCCTGTTCTGGTCGCGTGACGAACGATTCCTTTCCCAGTTCCGCGCGGGTGAGATCACTCGCTTCGAACCCTTCTCCAAGCACCCCGCCTGTTACAAGGATGTTGCCTTCTGGCTGCCCTCTGCGTCTGTCAGCGGTGGCAGTGCGGCGGGCGGAGCTGCGCCCGTGCACGAGAACGATATCATGGAGATCGTCCGCGGCGAGGCAGGAGACCTGGTGGAAGACGTCCAGCTGATTGACGAATTCACCCACCCCAAGACACACCGGAAGAGCATGTGCTACCGTATCAATTACCGGAGTCTGGAGCGCACCTTGACGAATGAAGAAACAAATGACCTACATGAGAAGGTCCGCCAAAAGCTTGTGGGCTTGCTGGGAGTCGAGCTCCGCTGATGGCAGCGAGTATTATTTTAAATGCTCGCGATGTACTAAATGCCAAGTTACAGTTGGCGAGTCGAGTCTATATGTACAACAACTGTGTATTACCATGTTCAGATGAAATCACCTATCCTCCAACTTTAACTAACCGGACGTTGAGCTAGGGAAGATCTAGCCGCGGCTGCTTTCATGTACCTTAATCTAGTCTACGGCATGGGACGTATGCAGCGTGACGTAGTGGCGATCCAAGCAGGGCCTATACTTTGTAGTAGAGTAGGATTGTCGAAACCAGCTGAGGAGCTACCAAACAGCTATGGCATAGTATGCTGCTTATTCCCCGGTCTTCGGAGGTAATTCAAGCACCGAGTGCATCAGCAGAGTTACCCCAAGCGAGGCTATCTCGATGGAGGCGCCCCGCGGGTATCGAAGGACACAGAGAAAGGCTACTTGAAATACGCGCATTACCGAGGATTACCGCTCGGCCTCCTTCTGGCCGCCAGAAACCGAGACGCTGATTGGCCAGTGCGGTCCAAGACCGGTTAGTGCAGCCGAAAAGCAGGGTTTCGGAGACTTGATCTATGTCCGGCGCCGCCGATTTCTTACCAGCGTATTACTCACTTTACTGCGTCAGACAGGACTTTATTATTATCATCGTTGCCTTCATTCCATCTCTCGTTCAAACTACGAAATCTCCCCTCCTCCACCTCCCCCCCTCTCCACTCCCCCCTCTCTCTGTCTCCCTCCCCGGGATCACTCTTCCCTCCGCTGAAATGTCTACCATGGCCAGCGGCGCGAAGTTGGAGGCGTCGCATCCTCCCAAGGCGGCGAATGCTCCAGCCCCTGCAAAAAAAGTTCATTATCCTTTCTGGTTCGGTGGTTCAGCATCATGCTTTGCGGCTGCCGTTACTCACCCTCTGGATCTCGGTAAGCTCTAATTTAGCCAACACCAGAAAAAAAGTATGTGCTGGAATTGAAGCTAATATTCGTCTATAGTGAAGGTAATTTATGCCTCCTGGACTCTTATAGGAACTCTTGATTTATACCCTTCCGCGTGCTTATTCCTATACTTCGTTGTCTCACCGGAACGCTGATCGATGTGCGTTTAAAAAATTTATAGGTCCGCCTGCAGACCCGCGGGCCTGGCGCCCCCTCGACTATGGTCGGCACATTCGTGCATGTGTTCAAGAATGATGGATTCTTCGGTCTTTACAGCGGGGTATGTAGTACCCACCAACCCTTCAGATCATGTCGATTGTACTACATGATGCTAATGTCACTTCTTGTAGTTGTCCGCCGCCATTCTGCGCCAACTGACCTACTCCACCACACGATTCGGTATCTACGAGGAACTCAAGAACCACTTTACCTCCCCCGACTCGCCTCCTGGCCTCTTCACCCTGATCGGTATGGCCTCTGCCTCCGGCTTCATCGGTGGCATGGCTGGTAACCCTGCCGACGTTCTGAACGTTCGCATGCAATCCGACGCTGCTCTTCCTCCCGCTCAACGCCGTAACTACCGCAATGCGATACACGGATTGGTGACGATGACGCGCACCGAAGGTCCCGCCAGCTTGTTCCGCGGTGTGTGGCCGAACTCAACCCGTGCTGTTCTCATGACGACGTCGCAATTGGCCTCGTACGATACCTTCAAGCGCCTGTGTCTCGAGAAGCTCGGCATGTCTGATAACATGGGAACGCATTTCACGGCTTCCTTCATGGCTGGATTTGTGGCTACCACTGTCTGCAGCCCTGTCGATGTGATCAAGACTCGTGTCATGAGCGCTTCTCCGGCTGAAGGCCGCAGTCAGAGCATCGTTGGACTGCTCCGCGAGATCACTAGAAAGGAGGGCCTCGCATGGGCTTTCCGCGGTTGGGTGCCGAGCTTCATTCGTCTCGGTCCTCACACCATTGCTACATTTATCTTCCTTGAGGAGCACAAGAAGCTCTACCGCTTGTTGAAGGGGCTTTGATTTCCCTGAACAGGTTTGACGTATAGATTTGCTTCATTTTGATTTGTCTTTTCTCTTTTTTCCAGGCACATATCTGCGATATCCGTCCATATGCTGTGTTTTCTTGGGATAGATGGTCTTTTGCTTTTTACTTTGTTATAAACCTTTCTTTCTTGATCTCTCATTGGCGAAGCATTACCGGGAGGACAAAAGTCTTGCGCATTTTATTGCTTGTGTTCATACCCTTGTATATATCTTATAGATTACATTTCCTTTACCTTTACTGTTATGTATCTCTCATTTCTTTTCTTTTCTCTTATCTTTTACTTTTGACTTCTCCGTTGTCTCTTCGAGCTGGCTAAAGTGACTTCTGTCCTCCAGTTTCTTCTCAACGCTTCGCCTACATTTCGCCTCTTTCTGTCTGCATCTGTCCACCATCTGGAATTAACTAATATGGAACAGCACGTACCTCGGAGGCATACATGTCTCCTCTTGCGACATTTGATAAACAAGACTTAGACGTCCTGGAACATGAGACCTCCAGCCATTGTGATTGACATCAGATTCTGAAAGCCATCTATCACCAACTAACATTCATAATTCTATACCATGTCTTGGTGAGAAAGTGCTCTTTGCTATAACCTACAGTTCATATAACATGTATTCTTTGCAGTTTAGATTAGATCAGAATGAAATGCCATATCCTTCAGACTCATATACTTACAGTATTGTATCCTCTTCCCTCAAGTCCAACTGTTGACACGATTGTGGCTGATCCCCTTTTAAAAATGTACACTGCCACCGTACTAGTAGTACGTAGTATTTTGACTATATCATCATTGTTCGTTGTATTGGTTGTATAACTAGCAGTGAACAGCAGTGAGGTTGTCTTCATAGTATTTAGTAGTTGCTTCGCAATATACATAGTGATGTAAGCAGATGCATAACTGGGATAATCAGACATCAGTTACTTGGTATTTGTTGTGAAAGATTTGTTTTTGGGGTTGGTGATTGGTTGGTTGATTGGTTTACTATCGGATATCGTATGATCTTACGACGGTGTTGTTGGTGGTAAGCAGAGTAGTTATCATTCTAGTCTTTTTCAAGCTCTTCAGGTATTCTATGGTAAGGTGAGTGGCATGTGAGAGTTAGAGATGAACGTTTATATGGCTGCCTATATTATATCAATATTAGTGTGATAGGTGGAACAGGACAGTTTCATATAAGGATTGATTGCTACGAGTTTATGCTGAGCTTTATGGGCGCGGTTTGTTTGACACATCATTCCAACTACGCGAGTCTATATACACTCGTCTTCCAACCCAGCCGAATTGAGTCTGGGGAGGGGCTCAGAGCTAACAATTCTCGCTGGATCCAACTTCATAGGGTAGAGTACATGTTGACAAGACACACGAAAAACAACTTTGAACTTTCAATTAACGGTGAACAAAGTAGTTAAATGCGTCTACCGGTCGAGACGAGCGGGGAAGTTACCAGCCTCTGTAAGTTTTTTTCGTTAGTATGCTGCTGTTTGATATATAAGATATAGGATCATATAATGGGACTACATACCGCGCTGGCCGTCCCATCTGTCAGTCCAGGCCTTGGGGCAGAGAGAGCGGAAGGCGTGGTAGAACTGTTTTCGGTTCAATGGTGGTTAGGATTGGATTCGCTTGGGTGTGGAATGGGGAGGCAGTAGCTAGCTAACCTGGCGGCATGGGCGGAAGTCCTCGCCCTTGGCGGTGACACACTTGTGGTAGTCGACGTAGTTCTGCCAGCAGTGCTTGGTCCTGTGAGGTGGAGAAAGAATACGTGGTTAGTTATTGCAGTTCGTACTGGGGGCAGATTGAGCGGAGGGTGTGCGAAAATCACGTACTGGTTCTGCTGGGGGAAACGAGCGTCATAGCCTATTCATCACCTCATATGTCAGCCCACAAAACTATCTCGATCGCGACGACAGCGACGGCGCCGCGAATGCTCGAAAACCTATCCTAGACGTACCAGCTGTGAAATGATTAGCAATTGACCTTAGTTACGGGACGAATTGGACCCATTGGAGGGTTGGGAGAGGGAAAGCTCACCAGTCACGAACTTGAAGGGCTTGGTCTCGACGGGCTCATCGGGGTCAACTTCAGGAATGGCACCCATTGTGATAGATTGAAGGTATAGTAACCTTAAATAGGAAACTTGGGGTGTTGATTGGAGGGGGGTGGGATGAGCGGAGGGAGGAGGGGAGGAGGTCTGGAGAAACCGAGAAAGAGAGGAGGTTCTGCGGCCGGTGGAGTGGAATGACCCGTGAAGCCGTGAAGCCGGAAGTTCACGTTTGACCGCCTCAGGCGCCAAACTAGAGGTTACTAGCGAGCCACTCATGCGCCCAGGTTTCCTAAACACCCGAACCACCACCGTGACTTCCTACCGCCTTACCTAAGTGGTGCAACCTCCCCTTCCATCAAGCTCAGACTTCCGTCACCACTTCCCGATCTTGCCATCCCACCACTTAAGTCGTTCTGATACTCAACTTCAACCACCCCGGTTGCTCAAAGCCCATTCGCCATGTTCCCTACTCGTGTTCTGCGCATGCAGGCCTCCCGGCCTTTCGCTTTTCCTGCTCCTGTGAGTTGGATCCCCGGCCCCCCGTGTTGGCTTGACGTTGGGGAAAAATTACGTTTGGCAGGGTGGCTAACAAGTGGCTATAGAAGGAAAACCACAGCGGTATGGGGTTCCCTCCCCGGTTTGCGCATAGGACCGATACTTGAATGATGGAATTGTGTTGTTGGGGGTGGGAATTGGACTAACGCCTGGCTTCTAGCCCACACTATCTCTCAGCGTCTGCGCACTCTGAAGAGAGTCCCCCCGGAGTTGATCCCTCTCGGTACGTCGCGGTCTGAATGATTAACACCTTGCCATTGGTCTACAGCAGTGCTAATGATTGTTTCTTGAATCCTACAGGTCTGGTCCTTGGGTATGTTTATTTCCTGATATCCTATGGCTTCTACATGACATGCCGTGAAGTCTAATCCCGACCGCCTCCCACCTCCCTTCCTCTCCCACTCCGCAGTCTTCATCTGCCCTCCACTGACGCAGTTCCATCGCAGTGTCGCCGTCGGTGCTGCCATCTACTCCAGCACCCGCAAGCTCATGACTGACAAGACCCTCCGTCTGTACCGCAACAGCCCCGAGGACCGCGAGCACTAAGAATGTACCATCACATTTGATTTCAAATTGCAATGGGCGATTCTTTGTTTGATTTTTCGGCGATCTGTATCATTCACGGGGTAGTCGGGCCTTGTCGCGCGGCCAGAGTTAAGAATGGAATGCTCGAAAATTCTCAGGCTCAGGGTTGGAGCGCGTGTAAATAGTACGGCTTTAAACGAAGGGTTCCTGATGGTGTAATATCGCAATATTACTGTCGCCCGCTTCTTGGCTTCTCTTTTTCTTCGTTTCGCCAGTTTCCCCTGGCGTGAGTGGATTATCGTAGAGCTCATTCCGGCTTGGGTCCGGCCACATCCAGTTCCTCGAGTCCTTGCATGGGATCTTGACGTTCGGCTCCGTCGGCCTCGCCTCCCTCGGCAGCCAATTTGTCTTCCTCATCGACGGCATATTTGGCCAAGTACCCCTCCTATTGTTTCATACGTAATTAGCAAATGATCTGTAATGACAAGGTGAACGTCACAGCGTACCTGTTCCCAGATAGCCGTCTTGCTGCCGAGTCCTTCGTTGCTGTCCTTCTGCGGCTTAGCAGCAGCAACCTTGATTGTCCGGCCATATAGTTCGCTTCCATCCATGTTGTCGATCGCCTCTTTCGCATCTTCGGGCAGATCAAACTCCACATATCCAAAACCGCGGTGGAGCTCGTTGGAGTTCGGGAGATCGGGTTTGGGGAGCGTAATATCAACCACTTCACCAAAGGGAACGAATGCCTCGGCCAGCGTCTGCATTGTCACGGCCTGGTCAAGACCCCCCACGTAGACGGTACATTTTAGACGTGCTTTCTCGCTCATGGTCGGTCGTAGCAAACTTCCCAAATGGGCTAGGATGGAAAACGTCACTGAGAGGAGGGGGAGAGAAAGAGCGACCGCGTCGGGGCCTTTTCACTTAATGCCTAGGCAAAGCTCTAGACTTTGGGACGGAGCAACCTGATATCACGTGGTGCCCCCGGGGCGGGTGTTTTGGCGAGGGCCCAAAGCGGTTTAGGGGCCATCAGCCCCCCCGAGCGCCCTCCAGGAGGACACTTGGTTGATTGCAGTGACGCCCTCGATCGCATACTTGGCAACTCACCGTACATGCACCCCTCGGTTCTTCTATAGAGAGGGGAGGTTTCTTTCTTAGGTTGTTTCTCTGCTCGTTTTTCTGGTTCTCCCGCTCCTGGTGTTGCTTCTCGTCTATGACCTTTGGTGCCAGACCCTCCTAATTCGTGTCTGGTCCTAACTCTCCTAATCTATACCCTTTCCTTTTCCCGCCGCTCCTTTACATCTCACCATGGTGCGTCTGAGGGAGATTCCCCGGACGGCCACTTTCGCCTGGTCCCCCGGGGCTGCGTCGCCTTTGATCGCTACCGGTACTCGGGCCGGTGCTGTTGACGTCGACTTCTCCAATCAGACATGTCTGGAGCTCTGGGATCTGGCACTCAGCCGCCATGAGACCGGCGGAGAGCTACAGCCGGTAGCTAAGATTGATACGGACTCCGGGTAAATAGAGCCTTGCGTCTACCCTGCAATTTGCCGTATAAGGGAAGCCGACGTGCTAACTATATCGCTCCGATAGCTTCAATGACTTAGCGTGGACGGAATCCGAAGATAACTCGCGGGGTGTGATAGCCGGTGCTCTGGAGAACGGCTCGTTGGATTTGTGGGATGCCGATAAGCTGCTTAATGGTTCCGAGTGAGTTGGCGGGTGTGCTCTATGTTGGGGCTGTACAATTGGCTGACGTTTTGAAAGTGATGCTGTGATCTCGAGAACTTCCAAACACTCAGGGGCTATCAAGGCTCTCCAGTTCAACCCCAAACATTCGAACTTGCTGGCAACCGGTGGTGCAAAGGGCGAGGTAGGCTACATATGATGGAGAGGAGTCTAGACACTCAGGCTCACGATTGGACAGCTCTACATTTCCGACCTGAACAATGTCGCGAACCCATACCGACTCGGAGGCACGGCGGCCCGCGCGGACGACATCGAATGCTTGGACTGGAACAAGAAGGTTGCACACATCTTGGTCACTGGTAGCAGCGCAGGTTTTGTTACTGTGTGGGATGTCAAGACAAAGAAGGAGAGCTTGACTCTCAACAACATGGGCCGGAAGGCAGTTAGCGCTGTGGCCTGGGACCCGGAGAAGGTGAGGCGTTCAGGAACATCCCTTATGTTTCCTAATTTGGGCTAACGCAGCGCAGCCTACGAAACTTGTCACTGCGACCCCTCTCGAGTCCGATCCTCTGATCTGTGTCTGGGATCTCCGTAACTCGCACGCTCCAGAGAGGACCCTCCGCGGCCATGAGTCCGGTGTGTTGTCGCTTTCCTGGTGTGCCCAGGACCCCGATCTGCTCCTCTCCTCCGGAAAAGATAACCGTACGATGTGCTGGAACCCGCAAACCGGCCACGCCTATGGCGAATTCCCCGTTGTCACCAACTGGACCTTCCAGACCCGCTGGAACCCGCACAACCCCAACTTCTTCGCTACCGCATCGTTCGATGGAAAGATCTCCATCCAGACCATTCAGAACACTAGCACCGAAACCGCACAGGCCATCGCCGATCAGAATCAGGCTCTGGATGGCGAGGACTTCTTTGCCAAGGCACAGACTCAACCTCAGGTCTCGAGCTTCTCGTTGCCGAAGCCTCCCAAGTGGCTCGAGAGGCCCTGCAGCGCCACCTTCGGCTTTGGTGGCAGAGTCGTCTCGGTCAACTTGGTTGAGAAGGGACAGCGTGCATCCAAGATTAAGATCACTCCGTTTGAGGTTGATGAAGCTGTTGGGAAGTCGACTGAGACCTTCGAGACCGCTCTCAAGGAGGGCGATCTGCGCAGCATCTGCGAAAGCAGAGCGGCTAACGCTGGCTCCGATGAGGAGAAGGCTGACTGGAAGGTTATTGAAGCCTTGATCTCTAAGGACCCTCGCAAGGGACTGGTCGAATACCTTGGCTTCGCTGACCAAGCAGACGAGGCTGCGGATAGCCTGTCTAAGCTCGGTCTCGATAAGGAAGAGGAAGTCAATGGGGAGGCGACGAAGGAATCCCGCGGGTCGGGAGCCAAGAAGCACAGGCGCCTGCAGTCGATGTTTGATGCCAATCCCGAAGCAGACAGTTTCTTGTCCGACTTGGCTGCCTCCAAGGGAGCCAAGACCAACAATCCCTTCCATATCTTCAACGGTTCGGAGAATGAAGCCGACACGGGCATTACCCGCGCGTTGCTCCTCGGTGACTTCGAGAAGGCTCTGGACGTTGCTCTCAAGGAGGATCGCCTCTCTGATGCCTTCATGATCGCCATCTGCGGCGGTCCCAAGTGCATTGAGAAGGCCCAGGAGCACTACTTCCAGAAGCAGACCAACAGCCCCAACTACGTGCGCCTGCTGGCTTCCATTGTCGGCAAGAACCTCTGGGACGTGGTTTACAACGCTGACCTTTCTAACTGGAAGGAGGTCATGGCGGCTCTCTGCACCTTCGCTGACGAGAAGGATTTCGCTGACCTTTGCGAGGCTCTGGGTGACCGACTGGAGGAAGAACTCCGCAACAACGAGGACAAGGGTATGCGCAAGGATGCTTCCTTCTGTTTCTTGGCCGGTTCCAAGCTAGAGAAGGTCGTTGCAATCTGGATTGAGGAGCTTCGTGAGAATGAGCAGAAGGCTATCGAGACCGCCGCTGATGACTCTGCTTTCTCGATTCACGTCCGTGCTTTGCAGGGGCTCATCGAGAAGGTGACCATCTTCCGCCAGGTCACCAAGTTCGAGGACACCGAACGCACCAAGGAGTCGGACTGGAAGCTCAGCACGCTGTACGACAAGTACATCGAGTATGCCGACGTTGTTGCTACACACGGACGCCTGCAGGTTGCGCAGAAGTATCTCGACCTCGTGCCGGAGAAGCACCCCGAGGCTGAGATTGCACGGAACCGTATCAAGTTGGCTACGAGACAGGCAGCCCCTCAGAGAACGCAGCCCGCCGCCGCAACTGTGACCAGGGCCGCCCTCAACAAGCCTCTCCCCCAGCCTAACGCATTCCAGCCTCAGAGAGCTTACTCACCGGCTACGCCAGCTGCTGCTCCCAGTCCCTACGCTCCGACTGCAGCGGCTGTCAACCCCTACGCTCCTCCGACTGCCGCTGCCAACGCCTATGCTCCCCCAACTGCTGCTGCTGCCAACCCTTATGCTCCGCCTACTGCTTCCGCGCCGGCGCCGCCTGTCAACCCATATGCGCCCCCAGCTGGCGGTAGCAGCTACACCCCTGCAGGATATCAGCCGCCCAAGGCACCTGCTTACGGTGCTCAGCCCCTAGGCGGTGGTGTGCCTCCGCCTCCGCGTGCACCCAACCAATCTCCTGCCCCTACCGTCACCACCTACACCACTGCCACGAATCTGCCCGCATGGAACGATCTGCCAGAAGGTTTTGCCAAAGCTCCCACACCTCGCAGGTCCACCCCTGCCGCTGCGACGGTTGCGTCTCCCTTCCCCAACCAGTCCCCCACTCTCACACAGGGACCTCCGCCACCGGCTGGTCAGCGAGCACCCTCAGTTCCCCCTCCGCCGAAGGGCACTGCTCCTCCCCCACGGATGACCTCGCCACCCGCCGTGCAGCCGGCTTCGACTACGATGCCCCCTCCGCCGGCCAACCCTTACGCTTCCTTGCCCCAGTCTCCTCCCATGGCGTCCACTATGGGAGTCCCAGCATCCATTCCTCGGGGACCCTCTCCATACAACGCGCCGCCTACCATGCCTCCTCCCCCCAACCGGTATGCTCCTAGCCCAGCCGCACAGGCTGCCAGCCCGCAACTGCAGACTCGGGCACCTGTCCCTCCGCCCCCGCAGGCAGCTGCTTCTCCGTATGCCCCTCAACCTCCGGCCGCGGGCCACTATGTCCCGAGCACTCCTCCGCCACACGTGCAGCCCCCGCCGCAACAAGCCCCTCCGCCTCAGGCCGCCCCGGGATCCCGGCCAAGCACGGCTTCCTCGCAGAAGAAGCCCGCACCTGCCCCGCCTAAGTACCGTAAGTGATCCCATACCTCTCTATTGGTGGCCTCTGTTTCTGACTTCTCATAGCCCCCGGTGACCGTTCCCACATCCCGGCCGATGCCATGCCTGTCTATGAGATCCTCTCCGCAGACATGCAGCGCGTGAAGTCTCGGGCCCCGTCTTCCTTCAAAGCACAGGTGGATGATGCCGAACGCCGGTTGAACATCCTGTTCGACCACCTCAACAACGAGGACTTGCTCAAGCCCAACACCATTGCGGACATGGCGGAGCTGGCTCGCGCCATCCAGGCGCGCGACTACGAGACCGCCCGGACTATCCACGTCGACATCATGACTAACCGACTGGACGAGTGCGGCAACTGGATGGTGAGTATTTCTACCCTCTTACTGAACTATACCCATACTAATACTCTATCAACAGGTTGGTGTGAAGCGTCTTATCAGCATGAGCCGGGCCACCCCGTAAATTTGAGTCAAGTTTCAATTTAAGAGGCTATGACAGGAAAAGGAAGTAAAAAAGAACGATTATGAGTTGTATGTAAAGGAAAGACGAGTCCTCTTTTATTATGCTTCACTGTACTGCTCATTGTCCGGTCCCGTTTTGCCTTGGTTGGGCTATTTGCGAATTGTTCCTTCAGATGTCAATGTTATTACTATGTTTATTCTATGGTTGGTAGTATTGAAAAGCCGTAAGCCTATATATGTGTCTTTGCTTTGGTCCTTCTCGCAGGGCAGCTACTCTATTCAAATGCAGTAATACTATGGGAAATCACTAGTATGTTGATTTTGTGTTAAAGCTGCTACAGGCCGACAGTCATTACAATG